TGTGGTTGCAGGTGTGGACTCACTTATGCGAGGGTTTGTTCGCTTTTGCAATGTGGAGGTGGTTTGGGGGTTTGTCGCAACTGCACATAGTTGATCGCAGGTGCAAGGTCACACCTGCGGAATTTTGTTTGCAGATGCGAGGATGAGGCCTGAGAGGAGAGTCCAATTTTGCAGATCATGAGGCGCTGACGCGGAGGTTCAACTGCACATAGATATGGATGGTTATCCACAGATGTGAGGTTGGTAGCTTCAACTTAGTTCACAGATACGAGGCCGCAAGGCGGCATTTTGTCTGCTGAAGCGGAATCCTAGCAGCTTATTATATTCTGAGGGTTCATTCATATCCATTATTTTGAGTTTTTGAGCTCGGTTAGAGGCGATTTTGGAGGAGATTTTCACTACTACTTTGGGGTATGTAATTTTCACTTGGATTTGATTACATATCTTATCTATTTAGTGAGTATCACATAACTTGAACCTCATACTATTTCATCGAGGTTTGTCTTGATACTTACTAAGTACATATTGTCCCGCACTCATACTACATTTCTGCACATTTTTGTGCAGATTTGGGTGTTGGAGGTAGCGGACCTCGAGAGTGGGCTTTTGACTATTCGAGAGGATTCAAGGTAGTGTTGCATAGACACCACAGACCCTTGGAGTCCCCTTCCCTTTTTTTCCATACTATTATATTACTTTTAGATAGTATTGTACTTTTGAGCCTCCTTATGTATCCAGTTTAGAGCTCATGACTCTATATCACCTGGTTTTGGGAGTTTGGCTTATGTACCTTTGATTTGGTTTTGTTGGAGCTTTATTTCGTTGTTTATGTTAAATTCATACTTATGATATCTTATTTCGATATTTTTATATCTTTGTGTGATTGGCTTACCTAGTCATAGAGGTTAGGTGTCATCACGACCATTAGAATATCAGACTATTAGGAAACTTCAATTTCTTTCATCCATTATCGTTCAGATTTGCTTATTCTAAAGTTTGAATCTTTACTCTTTTATTCTCTTATAGATGGTGAGGAGATGTTCTATTGGATCAGCTGAGCAGGCACCAGTGGTATCTATCAGAGCCGTGAGAGGCTGGGCCGAGGTGGGGCATGCGCAGCAGCAAGGGCTCTGCTAGAGCAGCAGTTGTGGAGCCACTAGTAGCTCCAGTTGAGGAGCAAGAGCTTGATCATGTTAAGCAGGTGGGACTCTCTCAGGCACCTGAGGGCCTATTGCTACACCGGGGCTTCAAGAGACTTTGGCTCACTTTATGAGTATTTCGAGAGCTTGGCCCATAAAGGTTTGATTTTGGTTGCACCAGCTACTTCAAAGGTTGGGGAAGGAGCCCAGACTCCCACCACATGTACACCAGAGCATCTAGCCCATGTTTATCAAACACCAGGTGTTATGCCGGTGCAACCCATAGTTGTAGTACAACACGAGGTAGGGCTAGTCTTGGCAGCTGAGGAGAAGAAGAGGTTGGAGAGGTTTTCAGAGACTTTGTCCTCCCCATTTCACTGGTGGGGCTTTTGAGGATGTACAGGGTTTCTTCGATCAGTGTCATCGTAATCTGTGTACTGTGGGTTTGGTTGAGTCGAATGGGGTTGACTTTCTATGTCATTTTTTTGACTTCCTTGGTTGATGATTGGCTCGTATTTGCATGATTAGAGGGCTAGAGTGAAGTTTCTATGCGATTTGAGGTTGACGGATTCCCATGTGCTTAGTTGTTTTTTTGTGACTTGCGGGAATGGTTGGTTTGATTTCGGAATGATTTTGGAGTGAATTGGAATGCTTAGTTCCATTGTTGGAAGCTTATGTTATAAGTGTTGGCCAAGGTTTAACTTTTGTATTAACAACCTAATATTCATATTTTGATGGTTCCAATAGGTTCGTGTAGTGATTTTGGACTTAGACATATGCCCGGATTTGTGTTTGGAGTTTCCTAGGATGATTTGGATCTTTTTGCCGAAAGTTGGCAATTTGAATTAAAAATTTCCTAAACTTGGCCATTGGTTGACTTTGAGGCTATCAGATTCGGATTATTATTCCGTGACTTGGAATAGGTCCGTTTTATCATTTGGAACTTGTGTGCAAATATTTGTCTCATTCCGAGTTGGTTTGGTAGGAATTGGACGCTTGGTTGTGAATATTGAAGTTATTGAGTTTTAAGGCTTGCATGATGTGTTTTGGTGTTCGAGTCATGGTTTTGAAAGTTAATTTGATGTTTTGAACTTGCGAGTCTGGTCATCTTCATCGTCGTCCTCAGCAAAGAAGGCTCTATCGGCGGCCTCTCAATCATCAATATCATCTCCCAACTACTCATCATCACCCTCATTAGCTTCCTCCTCTTGCTGCTGCTCCTCATCTGCCAAATTCTCAAGAGTGTTCATGTCCTCATCATTAGGAACCTGTGGCCTTCACCAATCCCCACCAAGTGTTGGGCATGAGCATTAAGCAGAAAATGCTCATTCAACTATGCACGCTTTTCGAAAGTGGCAGCTCTACCGCCAATCTGCAACTGTAGATCAAGCATCCCTTAAAAGTGGGCATAAAGCTGCCATCTCGAGCATTGCGCTCGACACTAGTCAAAACTGCCCCATCCTTATCATCTTTTCTCATAGATGTTGGAAATAGTTGTACCACAAAGATCAGCAGGAATCATCATATCAAACTTCGGCTCCTCATCGACCTCCTCCTTCCTCAAATAATGTGTCAGTACATTGCAAAAGAATAGCCTCTCCACCCTCTAACTCCTCCTAGCATTCGCCATCTGGTGGCGTATCAAATGACCTACATTCACCCCCTGTCATGTCATCAGAAAATAAAGTAGACAAACTTTGTCTCTCCCTACATATGTGTCATGGTAACAAGGCAGCCGCCTAATGTTAATCAACTTCAGCCATACTTTAGCTACCAAGTTTAACTTCTCCTTCGGGAATTTGATGTTGTTGTGAGTCCTTTTATTGCAAAGCCAAGTAGCATTTGAATTGACACCATACAAAGTGTGTCGAATCTCCATAGATGGTGGGTAAATGAAATTAACTACAGAGCATGTGAAACATCAGGTGCCCCCAAATGGTTGCTAAGTGCAGTAGCAGATATATCAATCAATCTACCACGAATAGGAATTAGTTTCTCTTCATCCTCTAGATCCCATCCGGCATAAAATTCTCTAAGCAGGTTGACACTCGCATCTCCTGGATTTCTGAACACAAAGCTTAAGCCAAAGTCATGTATAGATTGGCAGATCTCGGGGTGCTTTGATTTCAACTTTTTCTCCTCCACCACCAAGTTAAGACGATAGTTCTTTGGACGATAATTTTTATATCATTGTCCTAGCAGAAGAAGGTACACTTTTTATCCCATACTCATGCTCACCTCGAGCTCGTGGTTGGAATGCTGCCATTGCTTCAACTACTTGCCTCCCTTTATTTTGGCTACTAGACTCAGCCTTACCTCGATTCTGTTTCTTTGGTGGCAGTGCGAAACAAGATGGCTTTCCTTTAGATTGAGCCTTAGCCTATGCCTTGGCCTTGGCTGGAGTTTTGGCATCGGGAGTTGGGCGTACCATGATAAATGTACCTACAAACATCACCATTAACAACCCCATACTTAAGGTAAATCACATGGTTTTTCAGTTAATTTAAGGTTACTCAGACTTCACCTTGTGAAATTAAGCATATTCATATCCTCAAGTCAACGAGTCAACACATAATCACAATGTATGAACCATACTTTAACAATATACCTCTACTTCGGTGAGCCACCCCACACTTAAATTCCATGTTAATTAGGCTCACATAACACTAGTTTATCAATCCCGGAGACTCGGGCTTCAATTGGAACAAACTTTGCCTTTGAGGCATTTTCTCGAACATTTGGTACACACTAGTTGTGTGTAAGATTTTGTGCGGTTGAGGGATTTACTAAACCTCCCAAATCGGCTTGATAGTTGAGTGTAAACACTCTTTTAATCATCAACAATATCATTCATATGAGATTCATGGGGTTGGGACAAGTTATAGCACAAACCACCATTAACAACTTCACAAAGCTTGCAAGCTCACTTCAACATTCAATAAAACTAATAGAGAGAGATAGAAGAGAATCATATCTTGATGTTTAAGATTAAATGATGAGTGAAGATGTAGAAGTGTGTGATAGTGAGGGGGCTTAGTGTGGTAAGTTTTTGTGTGTGTTTGAGTTCAAAAGGGAGGTGTTGGGCGTGGGTGTTAGGGGCAGAAGGGTTGGGGGAGTGTGTTTATGTTATGGAAGAAGATTTGGGGCTTTTAAATTGGGGTGGGTCAAAATTTTAAAAAAAAAAAGCAAGGGAAGAAAACTGACCTGGAAGCGCACGCCAGGCCAGGCGACGCGAGGCTGGTCGCGAGGAGACAGGGGCACGGGGCGAGGGGTAATGCAAGGTGTTTTCTTGTGCCTAGCTGGGCGAGGCCGACCCTAGGGTGAGATATAGACCTTGCTAGACAGAGTCTGGGGTGCGTACACGTTATTTTACATTCTATTTTCAACTTCTTTTTGTGTTCCTACCTCTTGATTTTGATCTCAATCACATATTTCAATTGTATCGTGTCAATCCCTATTCAAAAAACCATATTCACATAAGATCAACTCATTAGTTTACCCCAAAATCAAAAACAAAAAATCAAACTAAGCTAAACTAGTCTACGAATTGGGTTGCCTCCCAACGAGCGCCTTAGTTAACGTCATGGTATGACGAATACAATATCACCATGGGTTGCCTCCCATGAAGTACCTGATTTAACGTCGTGACATGACGCAAAGTGTTCCCTCAAGCATCCACCAAGTCTATCGAGGTTTTGTGATGACGAATGCCACCACCCCAATAATGTTTTGCTCGTTGCCCATCAACCAAGAAGTTGTCACCCCTCTTGGGATCTCAAAGTTCCACGGATCCATTCTTTGTAGCCCTTACTACTTTAAATGGACCTGACCATCTAGACTTGAGCTTTCCATATAAGAGCTTCAACCTCGAATTAAACAAGAGAATGGCTTGACCTGGCTCAAACTCATGATGCATAATGTGCTTGTCATGACATCCTTATACAACTTCGTGTTCTCATATGCATGCAACTGAAACTCCTCAAGCTTATTGAGTTGCAATATTCTTTTCTTCCCAGCTAGATCCATATCAAAGTTGAGCTTCATGATTTCCCAATATGCCTTGTGCTCAAGCACAACCGACAAGTGACAAGCCTTTCCATAAACCAACCTATAAGGTAAAGCACCATTTGGAGTCTCGTATGATGTGTGATATGCACATAGAGCATCATCTAGCTTGGTGCCCAATCCTTCCTACTTGCATTCACTATTTTCTCTAACATTTGTTTCACCTCCCTATTTGAAACCTCAACTTGGCCACTCATTTGTGAATGATAAACCATTGTGATCTTGTGTTTTACCCCATACTTAGCCAAGAGGTTTCCCAATAGTTTGTTACAAAAGTGAGTACCCCTATCACTAATCAAAGCACGTGGAGTTCCAAATCTCGTGAAGATATTATTTTTCACAAAGTTCACCACAACTTTAGCATCATCGATAGGCAAACCTACGACCTCCGCCCACATGGACACATAATCAACCGCTACCAAGATATACCGGTGACCATTGGAATATGGAAAGGTCCCCATGAAGTCTATTCCCCACAAATCAAAGATCTCAACCTCAAGTATGCCCTTCAAAGGCATCTGCCTCCGAAAATGTACCCTTTCTTTGGCACCTACCACACCTTTTCACAAAAGCATGTGCATTCTTGAACAGTGTAGGCCGATAGAACCCCTGATTGCAATACTTTTGCAGCCGTTTTGTCACCACCATGGTTCCCTCCATATGGAGATTCATGACATTTATGTAGAATGACTTCAATCTCCTCCTCAGGGATACAGTCTCACACTAACTGATCTACATATTGCTTAAACAAAAAATAGCTCATCCTATCAATAAAATCTAACATCATGAATGAACCTTCTCTTACCATTCAGTGATAACTCTGGAGGTGTCACCCCACTTACAATGAACTTCACATAATCGGCGTACCATGGGGTTGCACCAACTGTAATAGTTGGAAACTGCTCATCGGGGAAGCTCTCCTTAATCTCACCTTCTTCATCAACATATGCGCGAGTTTCCAAGTGTGAAAAGTGATCAGCCACCTGATTTTTCATCCCCTTTCGATATCGGATTTCCAAATCAAATTCCTATAAAATAAGGACCCAATGAATTAGTCTAGGCGTAGCATCCTTTATCTCAAACAAGTACTTGATGGCAGCATGGTCAGTGTAGATGATGACTTTAGTTCCCACCAAGCAGGCTCTAAATTTGTCAAACGCCCATATTACCGCTAGCAACTCCTTCTCTATAACTGTGTAATTTATTTATCCTAGATTTAGAGTCTTGCTAGCATTGTAAATTGAACGGAACACTTTATTCTTCCTTTGGCCCCAATTGCCATGTCACTAGCATCACACATAAGCTCAAAGGCTCTCCCAAATCCGGGGCAATGATAATGTGTACAGTCACCAATATCTTTTTTAGTTCCTCATAGGACTTCAAGCAAGCATCATCAAAATTTAAAGGAGTATCCTTTTCAATTAACCTGCACAAGGGAGCAAAAATTGTAGAGAAATCCTTAATGAATCTACGGTAAAAACATGCATGGCCCAAGAAGCTTCTGACTCCTTCGACAGATATTGGAGGTGGCAATTTGTTGATTGCTTCCACTTTTGACTTGTCCACCTCCAACCCATCTTTGGACACTTTGTGCCAGATCACAATTCCTTCTTGTACCATAAAATGATACTTTTTCCAGTTTAGCACCAAGTTTATTTCCTCACACCTGGCAAGAATTTTACTCAAATTCGTTAATAATTCATCAAAAGATGGTCCAATGACCGGAAAATCATCCATTACTACTTCAACAAATTTTTCTATCATATCAGTGAAGATTGCCATCATACACTTTTGAAATATCACAAGTGTATTGCACAACCCAAATGGCATTCTCTTAAAAGCCTATGTGACATAAGGACAAGTGAAGGTAGTCTTCTATTGGTCCTCCAATTCAATTACAATTTGACTGTAGCCAGAATATCCATCAAGAAAATAGTAGTAATCTTGTCCGGATAGCCGATCTAACATTTGGTCAATAAAGTGAAGGGGAAAGTGATCTTTTCTAGTGGCATTATTCATTTCCTATAATCTATACAAATTCTCCAATCCGTGAAAGTTCTAGTAGGAATCAATTAATTATTTTTCGTTTACCACCACTATCATTCCACCCTTTTAGACGCACATTGGACTGGGCTCACCCACTTGCTATAAAAAATAAGAAACATAATAGTCGAGCCACTTTATCACCTCTTTTCTCACTACCTCTTTCATGGTTGAATTCAAGCGACGTTGGTGTTCCACACTTGGTTTGTGCCCATCCTCCATGAAAATTTTGTGCATACAAAAAGTTGGGCTAATTCCAAAAAATCTACCATGGTCCATCCAATTGCATGCTTGTGTGCACTAAGTACCCTGAGTAACTTCTCTTCTTGCAAGTCAGATAGATTAGAATATACAACAACATGCAAAGTTTCATTAGCACCTAAACAAGCATAGTGAAGGTGAGAGGGTAAGGGCTTAAGCTCTAATTTGGGAGCTTCTTCGATAGACGGCTTGGGTGGAGATCCAGTAGGTCTATCTAGAGGCTCAAAATTTATCATCCCTTTGATGTAAGAGCATGCCTCCAGTTGATGCACCATCTCATTGATTTCCTCATCCATATCAATGTTGTCAAACAACATGAGTGTTTTCTCTAGAGGAAAGTCTAGATATACACTATAGTTACTTCTTCCCTTATCTTTCTCAACCACAGATATCATAGCAAGATCATCATATTGGCTTGGAAGCTTAATTTCCTTGTACACATTGAAAACTGCTTTCACATTGTCAACTCTCAGAATCATTTTTCCTTCTCAAACTTTATGACTTCATCAAAGACCACTAAGAGAGGTCACCTCAATAAGATCAGGATGTGTTCATCATCTTCATAGTCCAGAATGATGAAATCTGTAGGGAGAGATAAATTGCCTAGTTTGCAGCAACGCATCTTCTATTAACCCCTCGGGATGGATAATGGACCTATCAGCTAATTGAAACATGACTGTAGTGGATCTTGGGGTACCTAATTTGACTGAAAATTTATAAAGCATCAAATTTATGCTCGTCCCCAAATCACATAATGCTCTCCCTACATCTATTTGACCAATTCTCTTAGGAATAGTGAAGCCCCCAAGATTCTTCAACTTTTGGGATAGTTTCCTTTGGATTCTTGAAGTGCACTCTTCAGTAAGTACCACCATTTTAAAATCAGTCAACCTTCTTTTATTTGCCACCGTGTCCTTGATGTGCTTAGTATATTTTAGAATTTCGCACAACACATCAACCAAGGTAGATTCAATTGACTGGGCTCAGCATGTCAAGAAACTTGTTAAACATTCTGTCATCATTTTTTTCTGCAGTCCTTGAGGAAAAGGTGGTGGGGACCTTGCAATGTGTGCCTTCTCATTATTGATGCTTTCCTGTTCACTTTCCACCACAAGCTTAGGGACTAATTCACTTTGAGGAGTGGCCTTGTCTTTCTTCTTTTTCGGTACTTCCAATTCTCTACAATTCCTCAAAGTTACCACATAAACTTGAGGATTTTTTTCGGTATCACTTGGAAGAGCTCCCACGGGTCTGGTATTTTGATTAGCAGCCAACTGTCCAATATGTTTGTCTAAATTTCAAAAATCAATCCTAAGTTGTTGGTTATCAGGTAATATCTTTTTCAACAAATCATTGGGGCTTTCTTCTACTTGCTATGGTGGTTTATAAGGCTGGTTCTAGTTCCCTTGGGGTCTATAATGATTTTGATTAGATTTATTTCCACCCCATGAGAAGTTCAGGTGATTTATCCAGTTGGGATTATATATTTTCCCATATTGATCATTCTGGTTCATTGGACCTTGGCCTTGTTGTCCCACATAATAGATAGATTTTACATTCACTAGGCATTGGTCACTTGTCTGACTTTCTCCATAAATTTCACAGCATGTAACCATCTGTTGCACATGCTGTATTTGATGTGTTTGACCCATTACTATCTTAGTCATTTGATTTGTCAGTTTAACCATATCTGCCTGTATTGCTGAAATCTCATCTAGCTCGAGTGTGCCTGCTACCCTCTGTTTTACCATTCTTCTTAGTTCACTATCACCTTGCCAGTTATGATTATTTGCGGTGAAGTTGTTCAGAAGTGTTTGAATTTAACCATCTGTTGCACATGCTGTATTTGATGTGCTTGACCCATTACTATCTTAGTCATTTGATTTGTCAGTTTAACCATATCTGCCTGTATTGCTGAAATCTCATCTAGCTCGAGTGTGCCTGCTACCCTCTGTTTTACCATTCTTCTTGGTTCACCATCACCTTGCCAGTAATGATTATTTGCGGTGAAGTTGTTCAGAAGTGTTTGAATTTCACTATAAGATTTTTGCATGCAACTTACTCCACAAGCTGAGTCAAGATTCATCTTTGAGGCATCATCTAACCCATTAACAAACGTATGACCCAACACTTTGTCAGTCTGATAATGATGTGGGTAATCACTAAGTAGCTTCTTGTATTTTTCCCAAACTTGACGAAGTGTCTCATCATCTCTTTACTGAACGCCAAGAATTTAACTTTACGGTGACTTAGTTTTCTTCGTGGGGAAGAACTTGATCAAAAACTTTCTTGCTAGATCATCCCACGTGCGAATTGAGTTAGTTGGCTATTTTTGCAACCATTCATTTGCTTTCCCCAACAGAGAAAAGGAAAACAAAGTAAGTTTGACATAACCCTTGGAAACGTTGGGATAGTTGTAAGTATCTATAATCTCTAAAAGATTCTGTATGTGGATTGAATGAGCTGCACCATGCACTACTTCAGCTCAAAGTGACCAGTAATAAGCTTTACGATAGCCCAAGTCATATTTGCAAGAGTAGGCCTTGCAGCCTCTATCACCGGTCGCTCGTCATTTTCTACTATCTCTATTGGCTATGGTTGGACTATGATGCCCAACTCTGTAGTTCTAGCTCTTTCTTCGACGTCCCTCCTTAACTTATGAAAGAGTTTTTCAGGTTCAGGTTCAGGTTCAGGTTCGTAAGAAGGAAGATCGTTCAAACTTCCACTTCATCATTGTATTTAATGTGAAATTACCCTCAAACTTGGAGTGAAAACCTCCTTAAAAGTTTCCTCCTCCAGAAGTCTAGGTCTCAAAAATGATGAAAATAAGCTAAATTCCAAAATCTAAACATTGAATACCTCTGCTAGTGATTTACACATTACGATTGTGACACAACCCATGCGATCCTAAAGCACACCCAATCGACCCTATGTGATCACGACCCTACTCCACGCAATCGTGAATCTAAACTTACCTCCCCCGGTGATGAAACCTCCTATGCGATCACAAAACAACTAGGCGGTGGCGATGGTCCACCAGCCAATACTACGCGATCGCAGATCTTCCCATGCGATAGAACAAAGCTCCATTCGCCAATAACCTTCTATGCAATCACGACACATGCCCGTGATTGTGATTCACACCCTTGGCATAAAAAACCAACAATCCAATCTTAGCTCAAAATGATCTGATACAACTCTGAACTCACCGGAGCCCCTCGGAACCCCGTCCAATCATCTTAACAATTTTGTATATCCTATACAAACTTGTTCAAAGGCTCAAATCACTAAAAATAACATCAAATCCAATAATCGTGCAAACCAAAAATCTCAAATTCTCTTAAGTTTAAAATCCTTACTTTCAACTAGAAGCGTCGGATCAACCTTGGGCCACTCGAGACCCGAATCTGACATACATATCAGTCCAAAATTATCATATTAATCTATTGGAACCTTTAAAATACCAATTCGGGGTCGTTTACCCATAATATTGATAAACACTTCCAACCTTAGGCCTCAACTTAGGAACTAATTAAGTGTTCCGAATTACTCCCCGACCTCTTGGAAATTAAATCACCCCAAAAGTCATTAATCAACAAACCAACCTACGGGAAGTCTCAAATAGAGGAATAGGATTCTAGACCTCAAAACAACTAATTTAGGTCGTTACATTGTACTGCTCAGACATTTAGTTCAAATTCAGATAAATGTGTCATATTCGGAAAGGGAAGAAGTAGCCAACCTCCCTGACCATGAATGTCAGGGTGGCTAGAGTTAGCTACTCCATAGTTGCAGGTGCTAATTATGATTGGGAGATAGGCTGATACTTTCTCAAGCATGTTCCCAGATGCTTAAGTACGCAAGGCCAAATTATTTGTTGGGGGAGATAGGCCGACACTTCCCTGTGCGTACTCGCAGATACTCACATACGTAGGGCCACTATGTGGAAAGTTTTCAAAAAATTTATTTAGTTAAAAATGAATCAGTTTTCAATTAGCTTTCAATTATCAGATATAGAATCAATTTTAAGTTAGCTTTCAGTTATCAGATACAGACTATGTTTTTCAGTTAGCTTTCAATTATCAGACACAGATTCAATTTTCAGTTAGCTTATAGTTATAAAATACAGATTCAGTTTTCAGTTTTAGCATTCATTTATAAGTCTTAAAATAAATTTTCTGAATCAATTTCAGGCTACTCAATATTTGTTGCGTAAATTGCTTGCTCTGTTTGTTGTATTTTATTATGTTTATATCTTTAGCCTATGTTAGTCTTGTCCTCCGCTTAGGGGTTTGTCAACGAGACTTTCTGGGTATCCTTTAGTGGTACTTAGCCCGTTTGACCTGCCACGTCATATGGCAGGCATTGAGTGTATAGGTAACGAAGTACGTGTCACGATACAACTTCAATAAACTCAATGGTGAGCCACTGATTCTTTCCAGCGGTGTCAATGTCATTTTTCAGACCTTTAGTTGTTT